AAATAGTCTCGCTTTGAAATCGATGTAAACAGCTAATGGACGTCAGAGCGGTTGGAATGATGGAGCTTCATCGAAAACAGTAAATACAACTTCTTTCAAAAAACTATTGCAATGTACGTCTTAGTGTTTCATAATCATTCTCTCATTTGACCCCTAATCTTAATCTACCAACAGCAAAGTGGAAAGGAAAGGTAGGCTTCTGCATAATACTACACTGACTCAGGTCTGTGCCCTTGAAATGCCAATGTTGTTATTGCTTGTCAGTTAGGGATGCTTCTGTATTATGTGATAGAATATAATAAATGCAGATTGGCTTGGATAATATCCTTATAGTTGCCTGGTGCATTCAGTTATATTGTTGCCCTATTTTGTTTGCATTATTCGAGCACATTCATTTGCATTGTTGTGCAGTCTCATCTCATTACCTTCGATACTCTCAGACATTAACTTGTATTGAAAATGTCACGTTTAGGCAATGAAGAAAAAAGTCTAGACTGCATACCACAAACTTTATATAACTCCTATAATGCCCTATGTGAATAATTTCGAAACTTTCGAAAGCCTTTTTGCATTAGGGTATCAAGAGTAGGTGTTTACAGTTACTTCCTCTTTACATCAGTTCATATTTTAGAGAATTCAACAACAACTATTGTGATATATTTCGACCAGTATATTTTTACTGAAGTTCAAAGATATGTTTTGATTTGGATTACTTTTGATGAAATTATGAGTTCGAAGAGTGTATTTGCATTGCGTTCTTCAGCAAAGTATCGTTGTTTTCATCATAGTAACACCCTGACAGTGCAGAACTTGCCAACCAAACCAAAAAGAAAATAGATAAAATGTCGATAGCTAGTCCTTTTAATCTTCCTTTTATCCTCCTGTTTTCACCAAGCCCCACCGAGCCTCACCCTACCCCACCCTTTTCTTTGATAGAGAATATCCAGTTGAAAAAGTCACACTACGCCACTGGTGATCAACCTTTATGGATCAACTACCTTTAAAGGAAGATGGCGTCAAAAAATGATGATGACGTCATGAAAGAACGTTTAAAAGTAAGTATGATAGTAATTCAATACATCTTTCAAAAGCACTGAATGTGTGCTATTCGAATATGGAACATATTTGACAATGATAGTTGCGAGAAAACAATTAAAAAGGTTCAAAGCGAATTTTCTCCAAGTTGATGACGTCATCATAAAATTTGACTTCCGCTCAAGATATTTTTCATTTCGTCTCAGATTTGAAATCTGCATAGTTAATTTAGTGCAAAAATGCAAGAAAAGTTGAAGTCAAGTCCTTGGTTGATTTTTAAAGAATTTTTATTATTTTTTTTATGACGTCATCAAAAACAGTAACTTCCGATGATAAATTTTTTTGGCCCATCTTGGATTTATAATCTCCATGGTCGATTTAGTAAGAATGTGAAATAAAATTTGAGGTTAGGCAGTTTGCTAGTTTTTCCTACAAAATTCCCTGTCTACGATAATTAGAAATTTTTCTTAAGAAAACGAAAACAACCTTTTTCTCTACACGTATCGATACACTACCGTAAATCCTCGAATTAGCACCCACGCCCGAATAAGCCCCCACGCTCGAATAAGCCCCCACTCGAATAAGCCCTCACCTAAAAAACAATTTTTGCAAATAAGCCCTCCCCCTCGATAAATCCTCATGGGGGCTTATTCAAGAGAAGCATAACTGTATAATGATTTCCTATTTCAAGAAACCCCCCAGAAGACAATAGCTTTATAATAACACTACCTTTGACTGGAGACCAAAATGCAAAAAAGCGACTTTTGTGATGATAAAAAATTATAATATTTGCTAGATCTTCATGCTTTTTGTAATTTTTCAATTTATTTCATTGAGAAAATTATGTCGTTTTTATATCGATCTTTGAGGAAAATACTAAACTTTGAAATAAGCAGCCCCCCCCCTCGAATAGGCCCCCACCCAAACTTTTTTCAATACTTTTTTCTGAGATCTTTATTAAAAATT